TAGAGACGGGGTTTCACCATGTTGACCAGGATGGTCTCGCTCTCTTGACCTTGTGATCCACCCGCCTCGGCCTCCCAAAGTGCTGGGATTACAGGCTTGAGCCACCGTGCCCGGCCCAGTTGTAACATTCTTAAGAGCAGAGAATGTGCCAGAACTACATTGCAGCCCTCCTGCAGCTGAGCACATGACGGCCCCCAACAAATACATGCAAGATGAACAGAAAACATATTCCTGCAGGGAGGGTGCGTCCCAGGATCCTTAAATAGCCAGTTATCCGCAGTAAGGCAAGCGCATGAGACTGAGAAGCAGGGATTTGCTTCTGGTGCCAAATGTCCGGCAGAAGTGTTGTTTGTCCTCTGCCCTGGCTTCCAGGTCTCCAAGTGGGCGGTGAGTCTCCCCTCACCCCCAAGCTGCTTTGTTACAATCTTTTCCCAGCCTGGACTTTTGTCCCAGCCCTACTAGCAACCAAGTCAACAGCAACCGACTTGCCACCTGGGGAGGAACGGCGAGTCTGGAACTCTGTGGCAGGGATGAGGGGGATGCAGAGGGAGGGAAACCGACCAGAGAAGAGACAACCAGCCCAGGCTGGCCGGCACTGAAAGCCGCCTCTCCCTGCAGCTCGGCAGCGATCTGGACCGTATCCGGGGTTCCAGAAAAGGCAGAGGTTCTTACCTAAAGCAGGTAAGTGTCTTACCTTAGGTAAGTGTCTGCATCAAGCTCAGAGTTGGTAGGAAAAGACTATTGTAGCAAAATAAACCATTTGGGGAAAGAGGAAGAGCAGCCAGTGGAGCAGGGACACTCATCCCATTTGTTGGGCAGAGTTAGAAGGGGTGGGCAGGAGGAAGTGGCTGCCCCTGAATATGGGGCATCCCAGGCCACAGCCACGCCAGGAAACAAGTGATTTTCTTGGCCATAAGTCAAGAACTGGCTCCTGGCTGCTAGTGTGAGGGGTGTGAATACTGGGAATACTCACCGTTGCCCTGCTAAAGAGGAGGTGGGTGGGGACATGGTCCTCACCCTGAGGCCCCCAGCCCAGCTGCTCATGACGGGAAAAAATGAGCACAGCTCTACAGTGGAACAAGCCTGACAGCAAAGTCCAGGGGGAGTCCTCCTGGTGGCTCCTAGATTCAAGGACGCTTACTGGATGCCTCTGCACCATGGCCAGGATACAGCCCTGAGACTTTTGTTTTCTGAGATGGTTTTACTCTGTCACGCAGGCTGGAGTGCAGCGCCATCATGTCGGCTCACAGTAACCTCCGCCTCCCGGGTTCGAGCCATTCTCCTGCCTCAGCCTCCTGGGTGGCTGGGATTACAGGTGCACGCCACCACGCCTGGCTAATTTTTTTTCTCTTAGTAGAGATGGGAGTTTCAGCACGTTGGCCAGGTTGGTCTTGAACTCCTGACCTCAGGTGATCTGCCCCCCTCCACCTCCCAGAGTGCTGGGATTACAGGCATGAGCCACTGTGCCCAGCTCGAGACTGTTTTAACTCACAAATAACTAGCCATTTTCATGGGGAAGCACGCCAGTGTTAATGCGGTAAGCGCTGCAACTGAATATTAAAAGGGGTAACAGGCCAGGGCTCCTAGCCAAGAACTGGGGGCTCCAGAAAGGCGGGTGGGGGGAGGTGATGCCCGAGCCGAAGCCCGGACAACAGTTTGCAAATCACTGGGTTTGGATGAGGAAAGAGTGTCCCGGGTGAGGGGACAGCATGTGCAAGGCTTAGGTGCAACACTGACGTGTCCCGAAAGCAGCGGGTGAGGGAGAGGAAAAGCAGGGCGGGCTGTGCGGAGGGGGGCTGCCCCGAGAGCCGCGGGAAACGCCCCCCGCGCCCTTTCACCCACTTGGCCTGGGGAAGGTGGATTTGAGGGCAGCGAGGCGGAAGGCAAGGCGCCGAGTGAGAAGCCCTCGGGCATCCCGGGGGGCACTCTGGTGATCTAGCAAGTGACTGCAAGGAAGGGGAAGCAGAGGAGTCAAGTCAGAGAATGGGACGTTTTCAGATGGGAAGAGCTAGGCCATTTCTCCAAACAGTGTGTCTTGTTTACAGTATGATTCTCAGTTACAGTGCGTTAAGAATCACTCTTCCAGCCCGGCACAGTGGCTCAGGCCTGCTCTGTGGGAGGCCCAGGCAGGCAGATCACTTGAGGCTGACAAGTTCGAGACTAGTTAGAGCACCCCCTGCACTCCAGCCTGGGCAACGCAGTAAGACTCTGTCTCAAGAAAAAAAAAGGCTGGGCCCCAGGCGGGTGGATCACTTGAGGTCAGGAGTTCGAGACCACCCTGGCAAACCTGGTGAAACCTCGTCTTTACTAAAGAATACAAAAATTAGGCCGGGCGCGGTGGCTCACGCCTATAATCCCAGCACTTTGGGAAGCCGAGGCGGGCAGATCACAAGGTCAAGAGATGGAGACCATCCTGGCCAACATGATAAAATCCTGTCTCTACTAAAAATACAAAAATTAGCTGGGCGTGGTGGCGCGTGCCTGTAGTCCCAGCTACTGGGGAGGCTGAGGCAGGAGGATGGCTTGAACCCAGGAGGTGGAGGTTTCAGTGTGTACTCCAGCCTGGGTGACAGAGCAAGACTCCGCGTCAAAAAAAAAAAAAAAAAATGGTAAGGGAAATTCGAGTCATTGGCTGACAGTCTGAAGCATCCAGTGAACCTTAAATGAAAGGATTCAATAATCAAACAAGTGTCTATTTGTTGACCAAATCTTTTGATAGCGTAGCAAGCGCTGTGGCCAGGAAATGCGCCGCCCGGGTCCCGTTCGCTGGAAGAGCACCCCTTGCCAGGGATCCTTCAGGACCTGTGTTGAGAGAACACATGGGCTTCCCTGTGGCAGGGTGGGCTGTGTCGCTTCAGAATCTATTCCCATTGGTGCTGGAACCAGTAGGATGTCAGTTCTGTGGGGTCAGGGCCTTGCATTGGTCCCCAGCTGTGTCCCTGCTGCTTAGAACTGCAAATGGCATATAGTAGGCACTCAACAAATATCTGTAGAGTGACTAACCCTCAGCCTGGTGGGTTGCCTTGGGGAGCAGTGGCTGGTCCTGGTGCCAGGTTTGCAGTTTTCTTGGTGCTAATGGCTTTCTCTTGGTTGCCTGTTGACTAATAATTACTTCTGTCAGAAATCTTATCAAGTCATAGGCTTTGATGACCACACCCGCTCAAGGGAACTTCCGCGCTGGGATTCGCAGCAGCTTGGCACAGCCTCAGGGTGGAGACACTCCCCCGTCTGTCTAGCTATCTGTCTCCTAGTGGCCCTGGGATTACAGTGTCCCTCATTTCTCTGGCATCTGTTAAATACCCCTATTCCAGTAGCCAGGGAACCACAATTTCTTTTTCTTTATTTTTTTCTTTTTTTTTTTTTTGAGACGGAGTCTTGCTCTGTCGCCCAGGCTAGAGTGATGTGGCACAATCACAGCTCACTGCAACCTCCACCTCCTGGGTTCAAGCGATTCTCCTGCCTCAGCCTCTCAAGTAGCTGGAATTACAGGCATGCATCTCCATGCGTGGCTAATTTTTTGTATTTTTAGTAGAGACGACGGGTTTCTCCATGTTGGTCAGGCTGGTCTCAAACTCCCGACTTCAGGTGATCCACNTTTTTTGAGACGGAGTCTTGCTCTGTCGCCCAGGCTAGAGTGATGTGGCACAATCTCAGCTCACTGCAACCTCCACCTCCTGGGTTCAAGCGATTCTCCTGCCTCAGCCTCTCAAGTAGCTGGGACTAAAGGCATGCACCACCATGCGTGGCTAATTTTTTGTATTTTTAGTAGAGACGACGGGTTTCTCCATGTTGGTCAGGCTGGTCTCAAACTCCCGACTTCAGGTGATCCACCCACCTCAGCCTCCCAAAGTGTTAGGATTACAGGTGTGAGCCACCACACCTGGCCCACAATTTCTATAGTAATTTAGCTCTAGAAACAGCAGGGAATATGGCTACAAGAGCAGTCACAATGTTCTCAATTATTGGACTCCCTGGCTTTACACAGAAACGGTTGTGTCCTATTCATTTTTATTTATTATTATTTTTTTGAGACAGAGTTTTGCTCTTGTTGCCCAGGCTGGAGTGCAAAATGCACGATCTTGGGTCACTGCAACCTCCGCCTCCCGGGTTCAGCAATTCTCTTGTCTCAGCCTCCAGAGTAGCTGGGATTATAGGCACGTGCCACCACGCCCGGCTAGTTTTTGTATTTTTTGTAGAGACGGAGTTTCATCATATTGGTCAGGCTGGTCTCAAATTCCTGACCTCAGATGATCCAGCTGCCTCAGCCTCCCAACGTGCTGGGATTACAGGTGCAAGCCACGACACCAGCCCCGTCCTGTTCGCTTTTAAGTCAGTTACCTGGAGTTGGAGTATGTCGCTCTCTCATAGCCTCTTCCCAGATATCTCAGGGCAGCCAGCGCACTTTAACCCCAGACCTTCTGCCACTGAGGCCCTAGAGCTCCAGCTTTCAGAGCACATGAGCTGGGCCTCAAGAGATGACAAACAGAGCTGCACAGGAGCTGCCGGCTGCCAGCCCTGCCCAGGTTCATAACCAGTGCCCTCCTTCCTCTCTGCTGGCTCCACACCCCGGGGCCTGTAATTTCCAAATTCTCACTCCCATCCCCCTGGAGGATAAGACTTTGGATCTGAAGTATCAGAAACCAGCCAGGCGCAGTGGCTCAAGCCTTTAATCCCAGCACTTTGGGAGGCCAAGGCAGGCAGATCACCTGAGGTCAGGAGTTTGAGACCAGCCTGACCAACGTGGTTAAACCCTGTCTCTACTAAAAATACAAAATTACCTAGGCATGGTGGCACATGTCTGTAATCCCAGCTATTCAGGAGGCTAAGGCAGGAGAATGGCTTGAATCTAAGAGGCGGAGCTTGCAGTGAGCTGAGATCGCGCCATTGTACTCCAGCCTGGGCAACAAGAGCGAAACTCCATCTCAAAAACAAAATTATCTGGACATGGTGGTGCACACCTATAGTCCCTGCTCTTTGGGAGGCTGAGGCCAGAGGATCCCTTAAGCCCAGGAGTTCAAGGCTGCAGAGAGCTGTGATTGTGCCATTGCACACTAACCTGGGTGATAGAGCAAGAACTTGTCTCAGAAAAAAAAAAAATGTATAAGGAACTGATCCCCAGTCCTATCAAGTTAGGCAGAAGGTCAATTTGTGACAACTGAATGTCAGAGAAACCAAGGACAGGAATGCAACTGGCACTGGGCATGAACTGGAAGTGGGGATTTCAATACTCAGAACGTCTCCATCTTTTGTTCTTCTCCAGATGTGCTGCTTTGCTTTTCTGTACCTTTCTCCACAGACCAGCTACCTCTCCTTTGCCAACAGGTCCAAACGCCACTTGACAAACCCGTTCTTCCAGGTTCTCAGACCAGAAGCCGCAGTGTCCCCTAGCTGCTGCTTCTCCCTCTCGCATCTGGCCCTTGGGGAACCCTGCCTGCCCTGCCTTCAGTTTACAACCAGTTTAACACAGTTTAACGCCTGGCCGCCAGTCGCTGGGGGAGGCAGCCTTCCCCGCCGCCTACACGACTGCATAACCTCATTGTTTTCTGTTTCTCTCTTGCCCCTCTGCTGTCTCAGAACTGCAGCAAAAATGCACCTTGCAAGATCATGTCATTCCTCTGCACAAAACTCCAACCTCTCTTTTTATTCAGAGTAAAAGGCAATGACCGTGAGGCTTTCCATGGTCATGCCTCTGCCCATTCACTGTGGCTTTGTCTTCCATATGCCCCCTCCTCACTGGCCGCCTTGCTGACCCCGAAGCCCGTGGGCGATACTCTGCTCTCAGGGCCTTTGCACTTGCTCCACCGCAAAGGCTCCTCCCCCAGAGGCCCACGTGGCTCATCCCTCAGTTCCTTGCTATCTGCAAGTCTCAACTATCCTTTCCCTGGTCAAGCCTCCACTGACATTTCCTGTCTCCCTCCCTTCTGATTTTTTTTCCCTGTCGTATTTATCATTCTGCTGTCCTTAGGGTTTCCTTGTTTATCATCCGTCTCCTCCTCCAGAACTTACATCCTTTTCTTTTTTTTTTTTTTTTTTTTTGAGACAGAGTTTCGCTCTTGTTGCCCAGGCTGGAGTGCAATGGCGCGATCTCGGCTCACCGCAACCTCCGCCTCCTGGGTTCAGGCAATTCTCCTGCCTCAGCCTCCTGAGTAGCTGGGACTACGGGCACGCGCCACCATGCCCAGCTAATTTTTTGTATTTTTAGTAGAGACGGGGTTTCACCGTGTTGACCAGGATGGTCTCGATCTCTTGACCTCGTGATCCACCCGCCTCGGCCTCCCAAAGTGCTGGGATTACAGGCTTGAGCCACCACGCCCGGCTCTCTCTTTTTCTTACTCCTTCCTTCGTTCTTTCTTTCCTTCCTCTGTCTCCCTCTCTCTCTTTCTTTCTTTCTTTGGCATAGGATTTTGTTTCGCTCTGTTGCCCAGGCTGGAGTGTAGTAGTGTGATCTTGTCTCACTGCAACCTCCACCTCCTGGGCTCAAACAGTCCTCCCATCCTGGCATCCTGAGTAGCTGGGTCACCACAGCTAGCTAATTTTTTGTATTTTTGTAGAAACGGGGTTTCACTATGTTGCTCAGGCTGGTCTTGAACTCCTGGGCTCAAGCGATCCACCTGCCTCAGCCTCCCAAAGTGCTGGGATTATAGGCGTGAGCCACTGCGCCCGGCCAAACTTAAGTCCTTGAGAACCAGAATGTGTCTTTGTTCACTACGGTATCACCAGACCTGGAGCAGTGCCCAGCACTCAGTGAATGCCTTCCTGAATGGATTAATGTGGCACCAAGAGAAAGAATGACGTCTCCCCATCCCCCTTTTCTTTTCTTACCCAAAACAAAATAGCTGGAGACAAGAAAGAATTGCTGGCAGCCTGGAGTCAGTGAGGAGTGCAGGGGAGTTCCTGACACCTCCCCTCTGGGTTTAAAGCAGGCCTACTCTGTCCGGGCACAGTGGCTCACGTCTGGAATCCCAGCACTTTGGGATGCCAAGGTAGGAGGATCACCTGAGGTCAGGAGTTCAAGACCAGCCTGATCAACATGGAGAAACCCCGTCTCTACTAAAAATACAAAAAAATTAGCCAGGTGTGGTGGCACATGCCTGTAATCCCAGCTACTAGGGAGACTGAGGCAGGAGAATGTTGCGGTGAGCTGAAATTGCACCATTATACTCCAGCCGGGGCAACAAGAATGAAACTACATCTCAAAAAAAGAAAAAAAATGGCCATCCTCCTCAGAAGCTGTCATAATTGTGGTAGCTTCCAGTTCCTGAGCACTGTCAATTAGGAATATAATGTACTTTTTGGTTTCTCAACAGGATCACATGAAGTTCAGGAAACACAGTTTAATAGCCAAAAAGTAACTGTAGAGCATCTGAAGTTTTCTGTTTGTTTAAGGAACAGAGTCTCGCTCTGTCGCCCAGGCTGGAGTGCAGCGGCTTCATCTCAGCTCAGTGTACGCTCCGCCTCCACCTCCCGAGTGGCAGGAATTATAGGCTCATGCCGCCACGCCTGGCTAACTTCTTTTGTACTTTAGTAGAGACGGAGTTTCACTGTGTTGCCCAGGCTGGTCTCGAACTCCTGCTCAGGTAGTCTACCCACCTCAGCCTCCCAGAGTGCTAAAATGACAGGTGTGAGCCACCCTGCCGGCCCTCTTAAGTATTTTCAGTATTTTGTTGTAGTTCTTGGACACCATGAGAGAGATACCTAGTCTGTAGCGACTCCCCTTAAAATCTTTTCCCAGCCCATTCGCTCCCTCCGGCACCACCCCCATCGCCCTGCCCAAAATGCCCCTAGACAGCCTCTCCTCCAGCCTCAGCGGGCCATATCCTTCTCTTTCATTCCGCTTCCCTCTTATCTGATCCCAGAGTCCAAAAGTTCCCGGATTCTGATTTGAATCCCAAAGTCCAAAAGGTTTAGGAAGGGGAAAGTGTGGGGCAAGCGGGCAGCATGAATCCACTAGTGATGTGTGTCCTCGCCCATCTGTGAGGTGGGCGTCGCTCTGACTACTTTGCAGGGGAGGAAGCTGCAGCCCAGGGAGGTCGTGACTTGCCAGGAAGGCGGCTCGGGCCAGGCTGCGCTCAAAACCCGCGTGTCCCGGGATCCCCAGTCCCTGCAGAATGACCCACCAGGATCTGAGGTGAGCTCGGCTGGGGCAGCCTGAGGCCCTGGGCCCTGGGCCTGGGAAGAGTCACTGTGATGACAGCACATCTAGGTTTCTAAAGAACAAGCTGATTCCTAGGGAAGAGCGAGCGACCCCTGTCCCCCAAATAACACCTGCGCTACGTCCACTGGGGCAAACATATACACAGGCATCTGTGCACATGCACATTATTGTTCAATATGATTTGAGTTCATTTCCTCTGACTGCAAAATTTAGTCCACAGTTCTCTTTATTGTCCCAAGTTTCTTCCTTTGTGAAAGGCCACAGTAATCCGCTCTTACCACTTCCGGGTAAATCCATCTCCAAATGTGCTCAGTCCGCCTCCGGCCTGAAAGATAGGAAAAGCTTAGGGGGTACCAAGAAGTCCGAGAAAGCTTTGCTCTTTCCCGTCTTCCAAAGCTCCTGTACCTAGCCGGGTGGGGCCTGTTCTGTAAACTGTGCACGGGCTGACCGACGGGAAGCCCTCGCTGTGGGAAGATCCTGTTCTCTTACTGTGAACAGTAGCGGGCATTCTCCCCAGGCACGGTCTCCACAGTCCTCCGCAACCCTGCAGTGAGCTCCAGGGGATCACAGGCCCAGAGAGGCGGGTCGCAGCAGTCTGACCCTCAGCCAGGTTGTGTGAGCGCTGCACACGTGGCTGCAGCCGCGGAGGAGCCCGCGCCGGGCGAGCGGTGCCCCGGTGGGCCCCGGGGGGCAGAGCCGGGCTCCTCCCAGAAGCCCCTGCAGGTCCCAGCTCCGGGACGGCCCGGGTGGCAGCACGATGCCTCAGCCCTGGTGAGCGTGGGCGCCTGTGTGGGCCGGAGCCTCGCCAGGGAGGCTGGGGAGGGTCTCTGGACGTCAGCGGGCTGGGGCTGCCCGCTCTCTGCGCCCTGCCCGTTCCTGGCGGCCTCCCCTCCCTGACCCGCCGCTCCCTCTGCCTCTCTCCTCCCCGTGCCCAGCATCACCGCCAAACTCATCAACGGAGGCGTGGCAGGGCTCGTGGGGGTGACCTGCGTGTTCCCCGTCGACCTGGCCAAGACTCGGCTGCAGAACCAGCATGGGAAAGCCATGTACAAAGGAATGTAGGTGCCGGCGGGCGAGGGTGGGGGGCGGGGGCGGGGCCGGGGCCGGGAGGGGCGGGGCCGGGAGGGGCGGGGCGGGAGCGGGGCTAGGAGGGACGGAGGCAGGAGCGGGGGCAGGGCGGGGCTGGGGGCCGGGGGCCGGGGGCCGGGGGCCGGGGGCCGGGGCCGGGGGCCGGGCCCTTCCCTCCAGTCCCCGGGCTGAGCGGTGACCGCGGGGCTGGGGCGCGGCTCTCCGGGAGGTGCCGGCAGGGTCAGGGCCCGGAGGGGTCGGGAGGCTTGCTGCGCGCCCACTCCTCCTCTGGCCTCCGCCTCCAGGATCGACTGCTTGATGAAGACGGCGCGGGCGGAGGGCTTCTTCGGCATGTACCGAGGTGGGCTTCTCAGAACCCCGGGGAGGCTGGGCAGCAGGTGTGAGCGGAGGCCACGCGGGGAACTGGTGTTCCTTCTGTCCCGGGACTGCCGGAATGGGGTCAGGGCGGCCAGGGATTCGCTCCTGATGAGCCTCTGCGCTCTTGGGTGGAGACAGAGGCAGCTCTGGGTCCTGGTAAGACTTCCCGAGACCCCCAGAGCACACCCTCGCCCCCGCCTCACTAAGAGCCCACCCTACCTGCCTGCCCCTCTCCTGTCCCCTCCGCTGTCCGCCTCTCTCTGCCTGGCTAGGAGCGAAGAGGGAGGGGCTGAAAGGGACTGAGCGAAGGGTGTTGAGCTCCTGGCCAGTTCTGGGTGACTCCTCCCCAGCACGGTCCAGCGCTGCTGCGGTCCCGGCGGGGTCCCCAGCCCTGAGGCTGCCTTGGACAGTGGATCCAAAGCTGGGGTTTAGTAGGAGCTGATATACTTGTGCCCCCGAGAAGCAAAACACAAACCCATCAGAGCCCGGAGCCAGCAGCCACTGGGACTGGCTGTGCGGCACAGAGGAGCGGAACCGCAATCCCGGCGCCTGGGCCTGTTACTCGACCCCACCAGCACCGACAAAAGTCAAATGGCTTGCTTCCTGATAACCGGACTGAGGAGTCCATAGGAAAAATGCATACAAAGAGGAGAATGTGGCAGGGAGCGGGAATGGAAAGCTGTTTCCGTGAAATAGGCCCAGGAGTCCTGCGCGGCCATGATGCCCTTCACTCCGAGACTGGCCTGCCCAGGACTGAGGGGCAGACCCAGGGAACTGTTGTTTCGGGGAGCGCCTTGACTCGGCATCTTGTCCTTCACTTCCAGGGGCTGCAGTGAACCTCACTTTGGTCACTCCAGAGAAGGCCATCAAGCTGGCGGCCAATGACTTCTTCCGGCAGCTGCTCATGGAAGATGGGTATGGGGTTGGATCCTTCCCTGTGTGTTTTTTGGGAGAGATGGCAGGAAGAAGATTTCAAATGTGCCTCAGTTTACCTACCTGCATGCATACATATGTCTGAGGGCTGGTGTGTTTGGGCTGCTGCAGCATGAAGGGAGGGAATGAGGTGGTGACTTTGGAAGTGTGACAGATAACATAGAGAACATATAGAATATTTATACAGGGCCGGGCGCGGTGGCTCACACCTGTAATCCTAGCACTTTGGGAGGCAGAGGTGGGTGGATCACCTGAGGTCAGGAGTTCAAGACCAGCCTGGCCATCATGGAGAAACTGCACCTTAAAAAAATAATAATAATATTTATACAGACAAATCCATTAATTAGCCAATACATTTTTAAAACTCAGCCACCAAGCTGGGTGCAGTGGCTCATGCCTGTAATCCCAGCATTTTAGAAGGCTGAGGAAGGAGGATCGCTTGAGCCCAGGAGGTGGAGGCTGCAGTGAGGCACGTTGGCTCCACTGCACTTCAGCCTGGTTGACAGAGTGAGACCTCACCTCAGGAGAAACAAATCAGCCCCCAAACCCTTTCTAGCTCTCTCTGTGACTCATGTTGCCCAGTGATGTTCCTGAAGGGATCAGGGACAGCGCCTGGCCTGGATAGATTCTTTGTCACTTTTCAGCTTCCGTACGGTGCTGCCACTCTAGCAGGCTTTGTTTTAAACTCAGTCTCCTGTCGGTACAGAGACCACACCTGAGGGCCAGCTGATGACTTACCCAGCTGGGTGAGTGGCAGCCATGGGTGCCATCCAGGGAAAGTCCCCCTCTCACAGGAGGGCAGCTGCACCAGGACGGGCCTGCGGGCCTGCAGCTGAAGGAGCCTGACGCCTGTTTCCATAGGATGCAGCGGAACCTGAAGATGGAGATGCTTGCCGGGTGTGGCGCTGGGATGTGCCAGGTGGTGGTGACCTGTCCCATGGAAATGCTCAAGATTCAGCTGCAGGATGCTGGACGCTTGGGTAAGGCCTGTCCCCACATCCCATGGGAACAGCAAAGGGCTGGGATTGGAACCAGGCACATCCCACATCCCGCTGGGCTGTGTGACCAGTCAGCTTTCGAAGTAGATAGAAGTCTTCAGCTGGGCATGGCGGCTCACATCTGTAATCCCAGCACTGTGGGAGGCCGAGACAGGTGGATCACTTGAGGTCAGGAGTTCGACCAGCCTGGCCAACATGGTAAAACCCCATCTCTACTAAAAATACAAATATTAGCTGGCTGTGGTGGCACATGTCTGTAGCCCCAGCTACTCAGGAGGCTGAGGCAGGAGAATCACTTGAACCCTGGAGGCAGAGGTTGCAGTGAGCTGAGATTGCGCCACTGCACTCCAGCCTGGGCAACAGAGTAAGACTCTGTGTCAAAA